GAAGTTCGAGATCAAATAAAATAGGTAAAAGTTGAATTTCCATTCGAAGGTATTCAACAAAACGAATTCAGTGAAGAGATATTTGCTAAGCGTTATCCTCAGCGATAAATCTCGTATTACAGTAACAATCCGCGAAGAAAATACAAATCAACTAGAATCGTGTCAGCAGTTAAGCGGAATATGGAATTGTAATCGTTGAATGGCGATGGAATCGTTCAAGAATAAGGATAAACTAGTTTGTTGGGCTGATTGTTAGCAATATCTGTGATTGTTTGAAAGAGGGACGTTGATTAATGATAATCAGTTGTGAATGACGAAGAGAAGAGTAACGAGTAGCAAGATAACCTTTGCAGGGGGTGGTGAACCGTTTAGTTTGAGAGCATCCTCTTGGATCAGAGTTGAAGAATCATTCGATAAATGATTCCTCATTTTCGCATCATCACTGGTTTGAGATGACTGGCAAACCTTCGCGATTTCATGATGATCATTCAGCATCGATCTCGCGTCTCCATACATCTCAACTAAACTGCAGAAAAATACGTATTTATCACAATATTGAATACCAGATTCAAAAAGTGTTGGGAGGAGACGATAAGATAAACCGTTATATTTTTGAAGATATCATTCTCAATCACTAATATTGTCGAACTTATCAAATTATTGACCTCTTAAAGATGAGATGATAATATCGGATTGTTCGAATCATTTGTCGTTTATCGATATAATAAGCATCGAGAATTTTTGTTGTTCTGGCAGAAACATTGCGGAACTTTTATCGTTTTTTGATACAATTATCAAACTTTTAAAGGTTTCTCATTTTGAAGCAAAATTTGGAAAATTTTTTGGATTGCATCTTGAAACATTCAAGAAGTCGACGACATTTACACTTCACATTGTTTACAAAGCTAACGTTTTCTTTGTTTAATGAACCGCTGAAAATTCAGAAATGCGATGCCTTTTTTCATTGATAAATTAAAAATTTTGTTCGCTTCAGTGTTATTTGAGTAGTGATTGTGAATGGGACGCACCTTCATCGGTTTGCGTAGCCACAGTGCGCATATGGCCTTGGGTTAGAATCTGAATGGCTCGCATCATTCGTTTCGGGTTTGGCTTCACCGATGCAATCTTCTCCAGTAGATCCAGCTGCAATTCAGTGGATTAGTCGGATATGAAGATAAGATGAGATATGGTAATAGAACATACAAAGAGTGATGCACAATGAGCAGTTCGCTTGACATGTAAGTAGGCACGATGAAACAACTCAATGGGATGTCGTTGATCTTTGCCGGATGGACCCGTAACAAGATTGTCATTCGATTCACTGCTGAAGAAGACATCCAATTGTGCTGTCAACAAGCTGTTGTTCGATTCAACCAATCGCGGAAGTGCATCAAATAGACCCAATGCTGCAACCATGCTCATATCATTCATTCACTCGTCATTCGAACACATCGATTAAATTACTGCTTTAACATCGCTCTCAACGGTGGATGCAAGTCATGTCCATTCAATGTTTAATGCCGACTGCAAAGGTAGACACCTTGTGATCCGTATTCCACAAGTCAACGGATTAAGATTCATAGACTCCTTCATGACTATCTCTTTTTTAACATTCATGAGCTTCAAGATGCTATGCATTCATATGAAATAATGAAGTTATGTTTCAATAAACTGTTTTCAATAAAATAAACTGTTTCCAATAAAATAAACTGTTTTCAATAAAAGCTGTTTCAATGCAATGTGCCTTCTTATTTTCACTAAAAATAAGAAGGCACATTGCAATTGATTAGAACGAAACAAACACCACTAACACATTAAATTTTGTCGTAGATAGCAACGATTCAAGAAACCTTTGCATTGTAACAAAAATGAATTCAAACATCGCATATTTTCAGCTTTTATTCCATCGTTTACATTTTCCATCTTCAATTCAGCCAACAATGTGCGTACCGTTTTCGTTGCCTGAATGCACTCGAACATCTACTTTCTCATACCTTTCATAGGAACATCTCAAGTTACTTCGAACTAACAAAACATTT